TCCTTTTACAAAGCATACTACTCCTTCAGGTGGACTGAAAGTGAATGTGAGCTTCACTGAGATCATTACTTAGGCCACAGCTTACAACAAATAGAAAGCATGTTCTCACTGAACTCTTGTTCAAGGAGAGTCAAAAGTAGCTCAGTAGTGAGGGGGACTTATTTTTCATTAAAATGGTGCAGGTTGGAAAAGACCTTTGCAGAATACCTTGTTCAAGTTCCCAACCAAAGCTAGTTTTGAATTAATCTAAAACAACTCTTTGACATACCCTGAAGCTCCCTTCACTGCTTTAATATTTTCGTGGCAATGTTTTCTTAGTATCTCACTGGAATTTTTCTTGCTGCATAATGGGGCTGTTGCCTGTTATCCTACCACATCTCAGAGAACAGCCTGTCTCTTTCTTATCTGCAGATTGCTGTGAGATTTTTAAGACAGCAATAAAAGTCTAACATTATATTTCCCCTTAAGTTTTATGCTGTGTGGAAGAAGTCTCTATCAAAATGGCACAATCAATTTTAAGAATAAATTGGGTAGGAGTAAAATGTAAGAAAAGTAAAACCTACAGCAAGGAAAGATGGAGCTAAAGGTAGACTGAACAAAGCACTTTATATCCAAAAACTAAGCAGCTAAGAAAGTGGCTGTAGAGAGGTGTATCTGCTGGGGGCAGTCATCAGAGGGCTGTCAAACAGGAGCAAATGAGAAAGCACAGACAGCATATGCCCTCTGAATAATAGATGACCCAGTTGCTAATGGCTTCACAGAAGCTGGAGGATTTGCGTCTTGTAAAGATGCATATGTATCAGTCATGCCCAGAGGAATTAGGTGTTCCACACATGGATTTCAAACCTTCTATCCTCAGAACACAGGAAAGTATGCCAGACATGTTGTAATAAGTTCATTTTCCCAAGTAAAACTCTTTCATTCAATGAGCATACTGGCTACTGCAGGCATGATCTCTAATTCTGAGGAGTGAGACCTTTGTCATGTCCAAGAGTTTTACGCCCTTATAAATATAAAACAGATACCTATTTTAAAAATGTGTTCTTCTGGAAATGATGTTGTTTAAACTGTTAAATAATAATATCTTCTAAGCAGATCAGATTTTTCTGTCATCTGTACCACTACAAAAACTCTTCTTACAGCATTTCAAAAGCACATAATTCTTTCATTTGTAGGTTTTGATTTTCTTCAAAGGGAACCATCTTATTACCTTCCACAGAGTCAGAGCCTTCTAAAAGTGCCTCATAAAAGTATTTGATAAAGCGGAAAGCCTTAGATATATTTTGACTCATTCTTCCTCATGCAAGAGCAGACAATGTATCTTTTTAAAGACGCATAATCAACATAGCATCAATATAGAGGCTCTTTTTCCCATTTGCTGCTGAGCTAAAGTAATTGCAGTGGCATTAATTTGCAAAATAAATTACTGATTATTAAAATAAAATAAAAATACATAACAAGCTAAGCTTCACCATTTTGTTTAAAAACTCCCCCCAAAAAACTAAGGATGCAAGCATTGCATTTAAGCAAGGAATATTAATATGCCCAACACAGAAAAAAAATGCATCATCGAACAACAGGAAGGGGATATCAAGATGCCATTTTTGATCTCAGAAGGACTAAAAAAATTAGTTTGCATGAAGTTTCTTGTCAAACGGACTTTTCTTATGCTAGTTTTCATGGACTAGCAGATGGCTGTCAGAAGACTTGAGGTAGACTTTTGAGGAACTGAGCTGCAGATCAGGGAGTAAGCATGTTTTCTCATAGAACACAGCCTGGTATAGAGATGGGTATGTCTGTATATTTAACGAAAGACCGCAGACTCTCCAACAGCCCTGAGTGAACATTCATGCACTCACATTCTTCAAGTCTTATAAAAGGTACCTGAAACATTGTTTTGTTGCATAAATTTAAGACTAATATTTATCATCAATATTTTCTACTTTCTATTTCTTCCTTTTTACATTATCTTTTTTGTGTTTCTGCTCACTTGCTCTCTTTTTCAATACAGTTCTCTATGATTATTCCAGTTACTGCATTACACTTTTTCTGGTACAATTTCATTTGATAAAACATATAGTTTTCAAGCTAATTTTATTATTTGAAACTTGTGATTATTTTCACTGTTAGGATAGTCTAAAATTGCATGTGGGTCACAAATCACACCAATACATAATACAGCACGAAATTTCAAGAGGTTTTCTCTGAGAGGCCATCTTTGCTAACTGCCCTCTGCATCATCAGATTTCTTCAAACTATACTTCCAGTGAATAGGGAAGCACGTGAAATTCAGGCAAGTGCTACTGCAGCTCCTGATGCCAATAAACAAGAATGATGAAGTGCTCACCAAGATAGAAGGCATGAGGTTAAGTGCGCAATCTAACTACATTCCTCTTGAATTGCAACAAATACTTGAAGACTGCTTTGTCTTCTTTTTCAAGCTTGACTCTTTAATTTGTTCTCAACTTCTTCACTGCATCTCTTTTGCTCCCTTCCTCATTCTCTCCCTGCCTCTGTGTTGTGTGACTGGCCCCTGTGTTTTTTTCCACACATGATTCCAGCAGAAAAACACTGATTAGAAACATTGATTATGGTGGACATCAGAGAGAATCCCAATGCGGCATCAGTCCTGGTCCTGATCCCCACCAAACAGCGGAGAAAGACAGCGATGCTGGGTAATAAACAACCAAAATTCAGTGGCTGATGGTAACTTCATAACCTTGAATTATGCCCAAAAACTTGACTATTTTGAAATTAGGATATTACTTCATGCTAAAATCTGTGCTATGGTAAAGAATGGCAAAAAAAAAATCTTATAATTTTGAGAGTCCACATAAACTTGTTGTTTTTTTTATTTTAGGGAAGATTTAAGGATAGGTGTGTAGATCTGTAACCAGGGTTTAGCTGGTAGAAGAGCTCTCCTGACAGCAGATCGGGCTGGCTCAAGAATTTGCTAGTGAAGCTTCAGCAGAATTTGTCTCTGCTAATACAATCTACTGCATTCCCCTGTTAGAGGAGCTACTTTGCTTCTCTACCTGCAGAGAATAATTATCAGTGAAGTTGCCCTTTCTATCATGAACTTCCTTCAGGTTTTCGGTGTTTTTACCAGGATATACTGGATAATTCTCAAATAAAATCCCATTACAAGCTATCTTATCAGTGTAAGACATTATGGAAGGGGTCAGTTACATGACTGAGTTGCAATAGCATGATGAATTCCCTACCAGCCATACTACTGTAATAAGCTGTGTATTGGCTCTCAGCCCACTGCAAGTGTGAGGTAACTTAAATCTCTTCCAATTAAATTTTAAGGAAAGGACTTTCACCTCACTTTGCCAAAAGCTAGAAGCAAGCACACAGCCTGGAACTGCAGTTCAGCTGATATGCAGAAACTTAATATTATGTTTGTAATTGTGGAAGAAGCCAATGCACTGATATTTATCAGGCTCAGGAAGGATGAATTTACTATCATTCTCTAATCAAGAGTAGCATTTAATACTGGCTCAGAAGGGTGAGGTTCCTTCCCAGCCTCTTTCCTACATGGAGGAAGGACAAGTCCTACTGCCCACATCGCACTGCAGGGACGCAGCACCAAGACCCTTAATTTTTACTGCAGGTGGCTTGTGGCAGCTTCCCTGGGCAGGTGCTGTTGGGGTGCCTGCAGCACCAGGAGCAACCCTGCTGTGGTCCATGCTGACAACTCCCCCACCCTACCAGACACCTGAGTCCCAATGGTGTAATTGTGCCTCACCAGGAAAAATGAGAGAGTCCTTTGCTCAGTAAAATCCAGCAGGATTTATTTAGGAAAAGTCCAAGGGTCCAGGCAGGGTAGGAACATAGCGCACAGGCAGGGAGAGCAGGTTAACAGCTACCACTGAAAGGAACCAGAAGCAAAAGGAGCTGGGAATGGGGGTGGAATTGGGGTATATAACTGAAGGGAGGTAGGCGGGGTTGGAGTACAACTTGTCCAATGGGGAGAGAAGACAGGGGAGGGTTGGAGTGGTGTCACTAGGACCTAACCAATGGGGAAGCGGGGAGGGAATGGTGCTGCAGAGAGGACCGATGGAGGAACAGATGGTATAGAGGTTTCTGGATCTGGGGAGTGTGCAGCCAGGGACTGGCAGCACAGCATTTATATTAACAACAGAGGATGATGGGGAATTTTGTCAATCTCTCACCCTAAGCTACACTAGAGTGTTTTCCAGGGCATCCTGACCCTGTCTTCCCCATAAGTGTCTCCCACATCTTCCCCTTTCTTATTAATTAAATAAATGTTCTCCAATGTCTTATTGATTGTCCTCTTGAAGCATATCAGTTCACCAGAAACTATAAAAATTATAATAAGAACCAACAGGGGGCTTCTGAAGATGCAAGCCACGCACCCGGGAATACCCCACTGTGTCAGAATCTTGTCCATTACATCCACAACATTATTCTCTGCATGTATGGTCTTTAATTGGTCTTGGATTTGTTTGATGTTGGCTTGGATAGATGAACTCCTTGACGTGATGACGCTGTTGTGGCAGGACAGGAATGAATTGACTTTGTTCAGAAGGCTGAGAGCATAACTCTGTTTATTTCAAAATACATTGCTCTTTTACACAGTTTCGTGCAGACCAATTCCATTGGTCCTGAAGTGAAAACATCCCACCTATTGGTGTGCAGTGAATGACGTACAGTAGCAAAACCTAACTATAAACAATGTGAACAACAAGAGAGAATAAAGAATATTCTTCTCAACAGTTTCTCAGGCTTCTGCCCGGTTAGAAACTTTCCATTTCTCTCTGAGAATACCCACAATGTGAGATTAAAACAACAGAGTCCTTTAAAGTCCTCGCAGCTGTGGCCATGGGCAAGCAGTAGGAAGTCTATGGCCACTTGGCTTTGGAGAATGGCATGCCTGGTGGTTTCTTCATCCACCAGGAGGTCTGATAGAGTGGTGGATGTAGCATTGACATGCTTCCTAAGCCAGCACCCCAGGTGAGAAAGCTCACTGAGGCCTTCACAGCAGCAACCTATGGTAGAAAAATAAACACTGCAACCCTCTTCATTTTGCCCCAGATATAAATTTGGTCATCACAATTGGGATCAAATTTGGTGTATGATCTCTTTTGGCATGCCAGTTTGGTTTCTCATCACCAATCCTTAATTTGGGTAGTGTTTGGGGTGAGGATAGTGGGCTGGCCAAGGCTGCAGGGGCCCCCTTCCATCTTTGAGGGGATCCCTGACCACACCCTGTCACCACAAATGAGAAACACTCCCCTGGGGAGCACCCTGGGTTAAGGAGAGGACTCAGATGGTGTTTCACTAGTGTAATTGCACCAATCGACCATGTATCTCTTATCATTTGGTAATACATTTTTCCAGGCAAATGCCTGGGGGTCTTTGGTGTCAATGCTCTGCCAATCTTGTTTGGTTGGTTTGTAGTGAAATTTTATACAATACATTGCTCTGGAGGAGCCCAGTAGATCCAATTCCTGGGGCTCCTATGGTGCATGGGGCAGGATCCTTGTCCACTCATCCCAAGAGTCGACCAGATTGGGTTTCTTACCTGTACAGGGCTAATCATTTGGTGACAGGGGATTCCCACCAGGCACATTGACAATAGGTCATTCACGCTTCCCATGGTCTGACAGAAGTTCTTCTGTTTGAGGGCTTTTGCAAGTGTCATCTATATGTTTTTCTTCAGCTGCGGTACAATCCACCTGGCTGCTGTTTGGATGTGTAACAGGATGATGGTGATGGCAGCAGCTCTCACAGCGGTCTGGGGTTTCCTGGGAGGTATTACCAGGGTGGCCATCACATCTCCAAATGGGTCATGCATGCTCTGATGCACTAGTAATGAATACACAGAATGGGAATTTAGATGTTCAGATGTTGTTATTAATAATTTCTCCCCTCTCAAAACTCCTTCAATCCCTCTTTCCTTCCAACTTGTTTAAAATTATAGATTAAAGTAGAAGGAGATCTCCTTAGGGGTAATGGGTAGGGGGGTTGAGGGAATAGGTATGAGGGAAATGGGAATGGGATAACAGGGGAAGGTATGATGGGGGTTGTAGTCACATCTGGCATACATAGGTATCTTCTTGTTATTAGGACTCTGGAGACGATGTTTGGGGTATGTGGTCTTTTTCTTCCTCCGTCTGCAGGCGACTGCGTTGTCTGAGGCATTCTGCAGTGGTGGTGTGGTGGGACAGTCTGCTGGTGAGTCATCTTTTGCTGTGGCATCTTGATACAGCTTAATAAACTTTCCAGGTATTCATTTGGGGTCCTTCTCAGTGGAAACACACCCATACTCTCTTCCCCAAGTGATTAGGGGGTATGGTCCTTTAATACATTTGTAATCAGGACCTTTGTTAAGTACAGGAGGCCTTTCTTTTAAATGTGCATAGTTTTTCATGTGAAAGTGTTGGAGAATTGGTGGGTTTGGCTCTTACCAGAGCAAATAATTAAATTCATTACATAAAGTACTTTAAAAAACCTCTCCACCAGGGTTACAGTCAAGACCACATTGTGCTGCTATTCTAGTATTTTTTTTTATCTCTTTGTGTGCCCTTTCCACCACTGGCTGGCTGGTAGGGTTGCGGTACAGTGGTTGATGGCCCATTGTTGTGTAAATTCTCTAAAATGTTTTGAGATGAATCTTGGGCTTTTATCTGTCTTTATTGATTTCAGGACACCTAATGTGGCAAATACCACGTAAAAGTGTTTTATGATGTCCTTTGATTTTTTCTCCCGTGTGCAGGTGAGTGAACAATGTCCCAGTATTGACACATGTATGTATTTCAAGCATCCAAAGGGGGCATAATGCATTATGTCCAATTGCCAAGGCTCTAGAGCTCTTAAACTTCTCAGGTTTACACTTGTCATTACTGATGGAATGGCCAACGATTGGTAGTTTGGGCAGGTGGAGATGACTGCTCTGGCTTGATCTTATCTTAAATTGGTGCAACAAGGCTGGTGCGTTTTGGTGGTAAAATGTGTGGCTCAACTACGTTTGCTGAAATGTGTTGCAATGGCTGGTATTTGAGTTGTTGGTGCAACTTGAGCTGAAATTGTTGTCATGGCTAAAGCATCCACCATCTGGTTAGCCTCTGTTATTTGTCCAGGCAGCCCTGTGTGCAACTGGACGTGCAATATGTGATAAGGTTGCTCTCTGTGGGAGATGAGCCAGATTAATTCTGAGAGAAAGCTGTACAATTTTTATTTTGAACTTCTTTGAGCAGGGCATGTTCTGCCCACTCAGCTATCCCAGCAAATACACTGAATCTGTTACCAAATTAAGAGGCTGCTGAAATTTTTTGAGCACTCTCACAACTGCCCTATGTTCTGCAGTCTGGGGAGAACCTTCAACAACCTGGACATCAGACTCCCACTTCTGAGTGTCCAGGTTTCTCCAGGTGAACACTGACTTGTGGGACTTGCCTGAGCCATCAGTGAACACTGTGACAGTATCTTTGATGGGGGTTTTGTTTTTATATGACTTTGGGACCAGATGGAAAGTGTCTTTAAAAAGTTTATGCTTGGGATAGTGTATTAAGATTTGACCAGGATAGCTGTCTAAATAGATTTGGAGATGTTCATTAGTTTGTAATAATGAGTCTATTTTTTCAAATTAAATGGGAGGTAAATGCACACTGGATTACAAGCTGTGAGGGTCTGGAGGCGGTGTTGGCGTTATGAGTTTTGCGATGAGTTCAGGGTAGTGACAGTTTTGCAGGGTTGATGGGGTAAGAAAATCCACTCAATAATGACAAGTGGGTCTTTTGAGGTGTCATCCCACTGGAAAATCAGTGTGTGAAAATTGGGGCACTTACCAAAATGCTGATGTTTAACAGAAGGCAGCGAGAAACCCTGTGCACCTGGTGAGATGTGATGGCGGTGGTGACCCTCTCCAATGCCTCACGAGCTTCATGTGTTAGGGAATGCTGTGAGGCCAGGTCTCTGTCCCCCCACAGGAGGTCGAAGAGAGGCACCAGTGCTGAGGCCAAGGAGAGGCCAGATCCAGGTGATAGTGCCACATAATTGTTACATGTGTCGCAACATCTGGGGATCCTTGTTGATGTTCAAGTTTTGGGGAGTGATGGTTATCCCAGTAATTAAAAATCTGAGGTATTTCCAGGAGCTTCACAGTTGGATTTTCTCTTGTGATATTTGAAATCCCACACTTTCGACAGCTGCAATAGTGTCCTGGTTTGTAAGATAAGCTTGTATTCTATTTGCCATCTGTTGGAGGTTGGGCAGGTTTGTTATCTCTTCCAAGAACAATGATTTGCTCCGAAGAGGTAATGGTTTAATGGGCCATTGACTGACTCACTGCAGGGCTGGTAACGTAACACCATCCCATTGTGAGATGCTCCACCCAGAGGAGGAAGCCAAGCACTCTTTTATGGTATAAAGTAGTACCTTTTGGGGGACAGAACAGCTCTCTCTTTGCAGGATTTCCCAGAGAAGCAGCTCCTTCGGCAGGACTCCCAAGAGAAGTGGCCGGAGCGCGGTGAGGCGGCGGTGGAGGAGCTCGGAGGCAGCCCCGGCACAGAGGAAGACCGGCCCAACTGCCACCAGATCTTCAGAGAAAACTATACCCTTCTGAAGATCACCACTTCAGCTGCAATTCATCAGCCACTGCAAGAGAAGCAGCTATCATTTCAACCGGACTGCTACCAACACCCCGAATCCTCAGGTTGTGGACTTTTTCACTAGTTTTGTTTGTACTGATTGCATTTGCCTTTTTTTAAATTGTTATCTAGTTTTCTCCTAGTAAAGAATTGTTACTCCCATTCCCATATCTTTGCCTGAGAGCCTTTTAATTTAAAAATCCTAGTAATTCGGAGGGAGGGGGTTTACCTTCTCCATTGCACAGGAGGCTTTTGCCCTCCTTCACAGACTCCTGTCTTGTCAAACCAAGACAAATAGTCTTTGTCAGGGCAGCATCTAGGTAAGTCTTGGTGGCAGCACATTTTAAAATATCATCCACATAGTGCAAAATGATAGCATCCAGGAATAATTTGCGCACTGGTGACAAAACTTATGCAACAAAGGTCTGGCATAACACTGGGGAGCTTTTCATCCCCTGCAGCAAAGTGGTCCAGTGATATCTTTTCAAGTGTTCTCCATGGTTGACTGATGGAATGGAGAATGGGAACCTGAGAGCATCTCCAGGGTGCATAGGAATGTTTAAAAAGCAGTCCTTGATGTTGAGAACTGTGAGCTGCCAATCCCAGTGTAGCATGGAGGGAGAGGGGAGGCCAGGCTGCAGGGGACCAATGTCCTTGATAACCTCATTCAATTTTTGAAGGTCTTGGAGCAGGTGCCACTTGTCTTTGCCAGGTTTTTTGATTACAAAGACTGGGGTGTTCCAAGGGCTAGTAGATGGCACAAGGTGCCCCAGGCATACCTGCTCCTCGTTTGGAAGGGGCTACTGATCCACCCACACCAGTGTGTTCATTTTCCAATTCAAAGGCAGGGTGCTGTGCTCTGCAGTGGCCCATACTAAAAATCCCACTTGCGGCCAGGGATATTGAGGCGAGCCCCTCACTGGGACAGTACATCCCTGCCGAGTAGTGAAATGTTGGATGAAACAATGAACAACCGAATGGTAGCAATCGGCCCCTCAGGTCCCTCTACACTTACCACATGTTTGGATCTCATCGAATAGACAGCTTCCTCGATACCAGAGATTGTGCCACAAGGGGGCCCAACTCCCAGTCGCGGGGCCACTTTGCCTTGGAGAGGATTGTCACATCCGCACCAGTGTCTGCCATCATTGGTAGGTTCCCTCTGTGGGAAATGGAAACAGAAATTATGGGCTTTTCCTTACATAAGTTCTGGGAGAAGAAGACTTTTTAGTTATCTTTGCCATTTAAATAGTCTGTTCCTGTTAAAATGTACATCTGAGCGAAGGGGGCTCCTTTGCATAAAGTGTAAGACGTGGTTTACAAGTCACTGACACCGTTACCTCATTCCCAGGGTCCACAGATACCACCTCAGAGATGATGTTGGTCTCCTCAGGAGTATGCTGGCTGTCCCCAAGAAGGAGCATGAAGGTGGTGTGCTGTTGATGAGGGGGGCCCAGGTATCCTGCAGGGACTCTTATCAGGTCCTCATCAGGGAGCAGCAGATGGATGGAGCTGTAGAAGACCCAGCGAATTCCCTGGACTTGTTCCCTTGTTCTGAAGAAGAATCTGAGACCCTCCTCATGACTTTGATCCTGGGAGATGTGCTATCCAGGAATTGGGTCTTCTGGATGGTCGGTAGACCCTGGCGATGCAGCCTGCCACTTGGAGTCTTGCACAGGGTCGCATCACAGTCCGCCACATATTTCCTGAACTGTGCAAGGGCTGTTGGTAATAATTCCTAAGTGGTCTTGGGGAAGGCTAATAAGATGAGTCCAAGCACCCAGGAGGCAAATGGGGACAGTTGGCTTGGAAGTGACCTAGTTGGCCACAGCTGAAACATCTTACGTTATTAACATTGACCATTGCCTCCCCCACCCCTTTGCTCATGGCCATTGCCAAGGTTGTTTCCAAAGAATAGGCTTTGGTGCAAGCATTGACCATCTGGGGGATGGTTGGCTCGGGGTCTTGGGGTAGAGCTCTGAGGAACTTTTTGTTTTCTAAATTGGCATTGCTCATCACCATTGTCCTCAAAAGCTCTTCCCTGGCCTCTGTATTGTATATTTGTTGATCAATGGCCTCTCGAAGGCAGTCCACAAACTTAATAAATGTCTCAGCAGCCCCCTGGTGTATGGAGGAGAGGTTTTGGAGGGGGGTGGTCCCATCTAATATTTTTAAAAGAGCAGTCTTTGCTGCAGCTTTGATGTCATCCAAAATATTGGTGGGCAGCATGACCTGATCATCTGTTCAGCTGAACTCCCCCTCTCCCATCAGTGCCTCAAGGCCCTCCTCGCCTTCACCCAGTACTTCACTTAAGTCAAATTTGGTTAAAATTGGTTTTTACAGTTTTTTCCATTAAATCTCCCACAGAAGAAACTCTGTGCAGAACAGCATCGCTTTGGTGATATAACAAAGGTCATGCAGGATCAGAGTATGTCCCATAAAGGTTAGGTCCAGAGTGTTTCTAAAATAGGGTGAATTGCAGCCATAGTTCTTTGCCACCTTCCTCAACTCCTTCACTTCTGCATATAAAATCTGTTCCCACCACAGCTCCTTTCCCTGTTTCATGATGACCAGTCAAGTTCCTGCACCTGTTCCAAATCCCCAGTCCCTAAAGGCCTCCTCACTCAATCTACGTCCAGCTCCCCCTGGCTTGTTGTTATTGCTGGGGGCGCTACTGTCCCCATCCTCTTCAGAGGATGAGGCAGGGCAAGCTAGAACGCAGGACCTCCAGCTGGTTGGTGGGACGCAATGGCTGGGGTCCTGGCAAGCCAAGATGGCCTGCCTCTGGCCAAGCCCACTTTGGTCCTGCCAGTGTGAGAACTGGAAGTGGCAGCAGAGGGAGGGACATGGGCTGGTGTTAGGCCTGACCTACCCACTGGGGTATGGCCTTCCTGGAGGCTGGTACCACCCACAGGAAGCCCACGTAGGGGCGTGGTCAGAGGGATGGAGGGCGCGGGTCCTGATGATGACACCATCAACATGATCGAAGGGGAGGGACCCGGCATGGGGGCAGAACTTGATGTGGGAATGGATGAAAGGGGAATGGCAGGAATACAAGGAGGTGAAGGAGGAGGGACACCATTTTGAGAAAGTCCAGGAGCAACCCTGCTGTGGTCTGCGCTGACAACTCCCCCAGCCCACCAGACACCCGAGTCCCGATGGTGTAATTGTGCCTCACCAGGAAAAAATGAGAGGGTCCTTCACTCTGTAAAATCTAGCAGGGTTTATTTAGGAACAGTCCGAGGGTCCAGGCAGGGTAGGAACATAGTGGGCAGGCAGGGTAGAGGCAGGAGCAGGGAGGGCAGGCTGACAACCACTGCTGAAAGGAAGCAGAAGCAAAAGGAGGCAGGAATGGGGGTGGAGTTGGGGTATATAACTGAAGGGAGGTAGTGAAGTGGTATGTGGAATAAATAAATAGACTCCACAGCTTGGGGTAGTTATGAAGTGGGTATGTATTGTCAGTGCCCGACACAAGTGAGATCACTCTCCAAAAACTTTTGCCCTGATCCTTAATTTGACCCACACTTTTATTTAAAAAGGTGTTCCATATGCAGTACATTTGTCATGGTTTGACACAGAAAAAGAATTTTCTCGGAAGGAAGAGGTCAATTTGGATATCGACCAATTGAAGGTGGACACGCCTCTGAGAACACAGAGGGGTTAAAAGCAGAATTCCCAGGGGAACTCGCTCTCTTTGGTTCCGCTCAGCCGCAGTGCAGCCTCTCCCCTGCCCGGCCGTGGCTGGTGGGGAGGGGAAGGCCCATGGCCTTACTGAGGTGGGCCCAAGGGTGGAGGGACTGGAATCGGGCTGGCCCCTGCAGATGGAAGGGTGGAGAAATCTGGGATGTCTCCGTTCCCCCCCAGAGTCCCTCTTGAGAGAGAGAGAGAGAGAAAAGAGGCAGCTGTGACTTGTCAGCAGTTCACTGCAGGGAAGGAGAAGAGCAGGGGAGCCACAAGGTGCCCAGCTGCCTGTGGGAGCCGGAGAATCCGGGCAGAGAGCCAGCCAGGGTGTCGGGACTTTTAACCCTTCCTTGAGAAATGAAAGCTTTGTGAAATTTTTCCCCTCTTTGGTTTGAAAGAGAGGAAGAGAGACAGCGTGGGCCCTGAGATGTTAGAAGGAGAAATTCTAGATGGGAGGGAGTGAAGGAGTGGCTTTTGGCTGGACTTTTTCCTTGGTAGCCACTGACTGAATCAATCTTCTCCTTCAAGAGAGACTGTATTTTAGGAGGATGCCTGTGAGCCAAGAGACCTGCTTCAGCTGGGAAAAGACAGAAGTGGAGCGAACAGAGGAAAGGTAGGGGGTTTGTCACTGTCCTCAGTGAAGGAGAAGAGAAGAAGATCTCTGTTCTTGGACCCTTGGCTCCAGGGGGAAAATGGGGGGGACTATGGTCCCAAAAAAAAAATGAAAAACTGAACTGTTGTGGTTTTTTCCTCCTCTTGGCAGGGCATCCTTGAAAGGAAAAATCCTAAAAGCAGTCTGCCTGTCCATGCATTGGTGGTGAGAGCACTGTGCATAGAAAGGAGAATGGTCACCATGGCAAACTTTTTCTCTGGGCGGTACCATGTGTGACATGGAAACACAGGATGTGGCAGCTGGGTTTCCTGTGGATCTGTGGCACAGGAGAGACTCCTGTTCCCTCGATGGACTGATTATCAATTGTCTGGAGGGTGGAAACCTGATTGAGGTCCAGACTGTGTCTCACTGTGGTTTGCTGGAGTTGGGTGGTGGGAGGAGGAATGCTTTGCAAGGTTTCCATTTTGATCTTTGTGTGTTTTTTTCCCCTTTCTTTTTTTCTTTTATAGTTGTAGCTTAATAAAGGGGTTTTTTTTCTGTTATTAAGCTTGGGCCTGCTTTGCTCTGTTCTCAATTGCATTTTACAGCATTCAGTCAAGAGATTGCATTTTCATGGGGGCACTGGCATTGTGCCAGTATCAAACCATGACAACATTGCACAACTTTTTCATGCATATTCAACCCCTGGCCCCACTTGTCCTCACCTCTCATGCTAAATAGGTCCACGCCCTTCTGGGCACGCGTGGTTTGCTGTGGTGGTCTTGCAGGGGTCTTTGGTGGTCTCGAGGGTGAAGATTGTGGTCTTCTTTATGGTTGAACTTTTGAACTTTTCTCCTTTGCGCATGTGCTTTTGGTCCTTTGGTGCTTATCTGAGTACCATCTGTCAGTCTTGGTAGGCTTAGGAACACAGTAGCCTCTTTACCTGGGTTCTTTGCATCTTTGGTCATTTCTGGTATTGTTCTTTATGCAAGAAGCTTAGGAAATTTGCATTTTCTTATGCCCTTTTGTATTGTGGCAGAGGTTTCTTAAAAGGTTAAAAGTCAATACATAACTCTACAAGCTAGAATATGAATGCTTAATTCATTTTGCTAACTTAAGTGAACTCCAAAAATCTCTGTTTCAGTAGGAGGGGTTGGAGTACAACTTGTCCAATGGGGAGAGAAGACAGGGGAGGGTTGGAGTGGTGTCACTAGGACCTAACCAATG